AGTGCGAGTAGCGATCAAGGAGTAATGAGGTCGACCGATGACACACGAGAGTGGCTGGTTTGGAATAGACCAGCTCAAGACTGGGTTTTGCATTAGGATGGTACAAGTTTATATACTACATGACTAGCTAAGAATAGTCCGATGGTGCAATAAGGCGTCATACCGAGATCTTAATGCTACTGGTCAGAATACTAACGAATGTTCTACGGGTCAGGTGATCAAAAGTAAAAAGAACGTGACACCACTCGACGCGGGTACTTCGGGTCGTGAATGGGGACGATATGTCAACGCCTAATTGGAGTGGAGAGAGAGCCAGCCCCACCAATCGCCAATGCCAAGGCACCCACGAACCTGAAAGACTGCCCCGAGCCCAGATAACGGAGTTTGAAACCCCGACACGTCCCCAACCCACACACCTTCACTTTTCGACTTCCATCCAGAGGATGCCGACTGTGGTTCGTGATACTCCACTCCAGGCCATCGAATCACTCCCAGATTCGCGCCCCTCGACCTGCGTACAGGTGTCAAGGCTACGCACCTATCGACCACTCCCACTCCCGCCCCTCAACTCTGCGCCACCTAACGACACGCCCACTACGCTTCAGCCTCTACACTCCGACATCCGCCTTATGGAGAGACCAACTAATCAGGCTAGAGACACATTCTGGCGAATCCGCTCGACACGCCAAGATTTCTTACAAACCCCTCCGCCTTCATACACCGAATAGATGACTTATTGCCCTCCTTCGATTCTTCGTATCTCTTGCATTTCATCTTCGATTTCGACAACACCTTTTTGTTCCACGCCTGACAACGACAACAGCTTTCCTTGATTGTATCGATATGCTGCATAAATGTGTACGATAGTTCCTTCTCCTCGGGTTCAAGTTGGTGAACCCTCCACTCCGGAACGTCTCAGAGCAATCGAACAAAACCCCATGAAAAGCCGAGAGGCAAAATCGCATAAAGGTGGCATAGATTCAAAAATATCTCGCAAAAAGAAATCTAAGACGTCTATCAACAGCTTCGAGTCGAGAATGGTATGAAATAATAAGCGCCCCTCGCACCTTTGGTCACAAGCTGGTGGCGAGAGTCACGGAGGATGAATAGGATAGTGATGGAATAAGTTCAATTACTCCAAACAGAACAACGTGGCAATGTCCAATCCCTTAAGCCTAAGAGATGCTGTCCCAACAAATCTCCCGAAAGAAAAGGCTATAATAGTCGAACATGAAAACACAGCGAGGAACGAATCTAGGAGAGTCCGTGAATTAGCCAAGATCTCAGATCATGCTGAAAAGTGATGGTGCTCACCCAAAAAGAAAACCATACGCGATCCAGTCATGAAAAGGCCATTAATCCCATCAAACACACCAACCCCACCAACGCACTCCATCCCAAATACTCCCTCGCAACAGCACCACTCGTAACATTCTCCACAAACCCAGTCCCACAAGCTTTCGCAGCAATCTGCGCCGCTCCCTTGTAAGTATCCTGCAACTCGCTGAGATTCCCAAGTTGTTGAGCGTACAACCCCATTAAACTCTTCGTACAAGAGCTGCACGTGGGGACCGATGTGTTTGGTAGTGAGATGCCCAAAGGGAGCGAGTAGAAGTACAGGTCGGAGGGGTTGGTATTTCGGACTGCGTCGATGTAACAGTACGTGTTTGCAGATGGATCGGCGAGACAGCCAGCGGTGCGGAGAAGATCGAATGCTTGTAAACCTGTGTACAACCGTCAGAAACTTGGGGAGTTCATTGGAAGAGTAGGACGAACCGATGAGAGCATTTACAGCCAGAGAGACCCTATCCCCCAAGTCAACTGAACAAACGTCCTGCAAAGCCTTTGCAAACCACGCCATATTTGCCGAACATTGTGCGGTATCGGCGTTCGTGTTGCACGTTCCCCAAACGATGGTATTCAAGGCTGTCAAATTGGTTTGAGCCTGCTTAAGGCATCATTCGAGTTCAGCACCGGGTTCAATTGATTTTGTGGTCAGCATTCTTCTTATAGCGAAGCCATGCGAGGAGTAGGACGAGAAAAAGACAGGAAGATGGAGACGGAGGGTGCTCACAGTCAAGAAGGCCGCCGAACTCTGGGATAACAACGAGAAAGGACGACAGGTTCTAAACGCTGCTGTTTGTGTCATGTTGAGGAAGAACGCATTGCAGCTTTGTGTCGAAAAGTTCTCTGATAGCGACGTATCGAATGGTTGTGGGAACGGCGTTGGGAGGACGGGAGGGGCAGCGGGGATCGTTGGGACGGCGCCCACGCCACTAGTGCCTGTGGCGGTGCCAGTACCTGTCGTCGTCGGAGTGGGTGAAGACGAAGGAAATGCAATTCCGGCCGATGACGCGGGAGCCCCGGTCATGCCAGGAGAGGAGGCAACCGCGGGGTCTCGTTTGTGTTGATGGTGATGAACCTTCCAATCGGTTAGCGTGTTCGACCACGTCCGCCAGTCTGTTGGAGGGTTGGAAGAAAGGGCGTCGAAAGCGACCGGATGAGAAATGTAGCGCGTCGTCAAAGTGATTAGGATCAGGACAGCTGGCACAAGAAAGAGGGTCCATGTCGTTCGCCGACCAACTTTCTTTTTCGTGTCCTGAGGAGGTGATTGAAGAGGGACCGGGCGGAGCTTAAGAGGGGATATGGGTGGTGATGGCGAGGGCGAGGGGGATGGGGATCTGGAGGGAACGGATAATAGTGACGAAGAAGGGGAGGTCGAGAGGTGGGAGTGGGTGGTGGTGGTTGTGTTGGAAGATGGTAGGGGTGACGGCGGTGGCGTGAACATCACATACGAATTATTTTGAGGGTAGCTGCCAATGCAATCTGGCTAAGGAGCGTGTTGTAGAAAGAGCGTATGATCTGTATAGGACTGTTTGGAGAAGCAACGGATAAGGCAGACGATTGATGCCTACAAACACTCCATGTCAGATGTGCTACAATGCGACGAGATGGCTCCAGACTCACTTTGAGGCAAATTCCGCTGACCAACGCCCACACCTTCGCCTCTGGTGAACGATGTGTTGAAACGCAAACAAATATTCTCACCAATCAAGAACACGCGTTCAAAGAGCGTCAGGAAAAGGAGTGTAGGTTAGAGAGATGTGTTGGCGACTTGGATATCGTAACTGGCGAAAATATACCAAATCTGTTGAGTTACCCAAGCGTAACTGGGGAAAGCTCTGTCGCTCACCTCGGAATGCGCGCTCGTAGACGGGAAAGAACAAACCCGAAAGGCAAGAAAGAGGTTGCAAGCGTGGTGGAAACCGCAAACAAAATTGGGTCCTGCGCCCACGGAATGTGCTGATCGCCCTGATCATTGTACCTTGAATTCAGTTCAACGTCACAGGACGTCACCTTGTGACGAGTCACTCTTCGGGGCCTGGCTTCCCTGTCGATCAGAGTTCCAAAAACAGCACCGAAGCCCTACATCGCTTGATGTTGTTTTCTCCATTCTCCTTGCCAACGCAGCACTCCTTGCTACGTCTGATATCAACCCGACATGTTGTGGAGTGTTTCTTTCCCTTGCTTGGTTCCAAGCAACACGTGAATACTCGATGTCGCTAGCACTCTCCAAAGACGCCAAGGAACTTGTCTTAACCGAGCGGCGTCCGAGCCGGGTTCCAGGATGGGTTTTCGATCCTTCTGCTCTCGCTTGTGCTGCTTCGTCGTTTCGACCCACCGGGTGCCAAGCCGTGGTTGGGATCTGGGGCGACGGGTTTCTGCAGCCGCGGACATTCCCCTCGAAGTGGTTATCCGCTGGCGTGAGTTGAAGAGTAACACGTGTCGAGGTAACCTCGTTCTCGTGAACTTGCATTTCTTGTTGCACGTCCACTTCTGGACATTGACTCCATTGAGAAATGTGCTTGCGGATTCCGGTGAATTAGAGGCATTGTGATAAGTCTTGCGAGATTCCGAGGGATTGCAATTGGTCATGATACATGGTTGTGTTGAGGCATTACAACATAACTGCTTTTCTTCTAGACTATTGCTTTGCATTGATAGGCATTGACAGTATCCTAACCTTCCCTGTGGACTTACAACTTTCTGACTGTGCTGTCCATTTTCTGATCTAGTTTGCATCATCATGTAGGTTGGGTTAAGTTCCGTGTTGGAGTTTCAACACCTATTTCTCATTTATTTTCCTTTGCCATTGCCAGCATATCCACTCACAACCCTACTCAAACTGACTGTTGGCAGTTGCCAATCTGTTGTCAGATAGAAGAATCTTTTTCTTTCAAATCTACTTTGCTCAGTGCCTAAATGGAAAATACTCATCAGGTTCTGAAATCCCAAATTTCACAGGCTTTCTTCATTCTGGCATAACTTATCAGTTACCTAATGTGGAGCCTTAGCACTCAATCACTCTCATGTCTGGACTGTCTGTTTCATCCAAACTCCTTTGCAGCCCAATTGAACCCATCTGCAAAAACATTCTTGTTACTGTCATCAGACTTCTCAGTCAATCAAGTTGGCTCACAATCAGTTGAAGATTTCCTTTCAAACATTTTTGAGAGTATACAATGAATTAACATGTTTCTAGTTAACAGTAAGAATAGCTTGGATGGAAAAGTTTCCCAGCCAGTATTTGAAAGTTGCCAGAGTGTTTTTTCAATCATTATAGTGCTTTTCATAAATATGCAGAAAGACAAAAATCTGCTTGAGGCCTGCTGCAAGCTAGCACGGCTCATGCCGTCCTTCAGTTATCTCATCTGCAGGGCTAAGTGGTGCAAAATGGTCTCTTGTGGATGTTCAACGCACCTGTTGCTTGACCAAAAGGGCCCAGGACCCAAAAAATCCATCCAAATTTGGTTCTGAGCCCCACCAGCCACATTGCCGGCTCCCTCCTGGAAGCCTGGTGATGCCAAGAATTGAAAGTGACTGAGGAGACTCAAAAGAGCTTTCCACATATTAATGAAACACACTGTAAAGGGTTGTATAGTAAGCTGTAGCAATTTCACTCCCAATCTGAGACAAACATCTAGGTCTAAATACTTCATGGCATCTTAGCCAAGTGGTTACGGCGACAGATTAGAACATAATAGTACTTATCTGTTTCCCTTTGGGAGCGTAGGTTCGAGTCCTGCAGATGTCAAGTGCTTTTGCTATCAAATTACTATCATTTTTCATCTTGGATGAAGTAAGGATGAAGATATTAGTGAGCAACTGCCCCAGTAAGGCTGAGAGAGCCCAACATATTTTTTTCCTGATACTACAGTCATTTTCAAATCTGGGATAATCTATCCAAAAAAAAGAAAAAAGATACAGGTGGTAGCTTCACATCTACTGCACTGTCCACTTTCACCCTGATACTAGTCAGACTGGAAAAATCATCTCAACAACACTATGAAATAGATTGACAAAACAACCAAATTTCTTGTTAAACAATTCACTAAGTCCTTCAAATTCAAGTGTCTTTCTGGCAACCACTTGCAGGTGGTTTTGGTCAAAAAATGGTGTAAGGGTTACTGTGATTAGTGTGGTAGTTGCTGAGGTTCAAGTAAATTGTTCCTGCAAAACTTTTTTTGATTTTCTTTTTGGATTCTGACTATATAGTTTCAAAAATAACTGTGGTAGAATAAATATGTGAGAATATATAGGTATAACTAGGATTCAGGTGGGAGTATAGTAATGCTAATCTCAAATCAAACCCTGTGAGAACAGACACGATTGAGAGCAAGAATAGCCTGAGCTGTAAACATATGATAAACTCAGTTGAATGATCAAACTCAGAACAATGTCAATAGCTTGTCTTAGATGTGTCAAAAGTAGGATTATTCAAATTTAAGAGTTTCAATCATGTTTACATTTATGTATCTAGAGGGATTAATACAGAATTTCAGGTGTAGAGAAGCCTCTAGGATGATATTTCACCATTGAGATTTAAGGATGCTAAGCAAGGTTTATTTGACCAGCCAATGACATATATAAATGCCAGAGAGCCAAGGTATGAACTTTGATGATGACAATGTTCAACAAGTTCCTAGGTATGAAGTTAGGTGTTAATCTGTATTGCAATTGAAAGCACACCTTCCTGCCAAGGGGAAACTTCTTCAAGCACAAATTCAAGTCCGAAGTTGATGTTTCAACGTCCCTTGCCTTTAGCCAAGGTATCAAAACAGGTGTTGGCTGTTTCATGCACTATGGAAACCTGTTGTCTGAGAGGGAGGTTATGCCAGTTACAATGCAGGATGAACATGCTCACCAGGGTCTCTGGTTGCATCGGAACACCCATACCATCTACATTCAGATTACAACATATGTGTTCTACTCCGCTGAACAAGGGTTGGCGACCAGGCGAATGCACCCATGGTCTCCAGAAAGCCATCATTCGCGGAGATGGATGAAGCCAACGGGACTCATGGGTCAGTTCCAGAAGCTTGAATGGCGAAGAGCACACTGAGTAGTCTCTCATCAGGAACGAAGTATTCGACGTCCAAACCCAACCTTCTCGACGGAGTAGTTGAGGATGTCTGCTATGTTGGCGACCGTCATAAGCTGAGTGACGTGATAGTTCCACGGATAATTTTCGCGGATTTGGTATTTGACGCGCTTTTCGCCTTGGAGATGGACCTGTAAAGACAATCCCTCGCGGGACCCAGGGTAGGAATCACTTAAGAGGCACCGTTTATCACGAATATATCTGGTGGGCAGGGTAGATTCGGATGTAAGTCCCGTCATGATCAGAGAACGGGAGGAAGGGCGACACCTTTTCACGAAGGCTGCCGATAACGCGAGGGCAAGATGGCGAGCGCTGCTTCATCGATGGATGTACGAGCTTATCTGCACTTTCATCCTTTGTCGAAATTGCACAACAAACAGAGGAGCAGACAGTGTCGCGACTGGAGTCATCAGTGACCCAACTGTGCCATGATTGTACCTGGGCCGTTTCGAAAGGGGCGCAAGGGTGTCGAATTGCGACGAGACACAAGTTGGGAACGTGAAAGCTCGCTACCAGGCTTTCAGCAATGACAAGGGATACAAAGGTGCCAAGATTTCATTATTGAGACGGAATCCATGCTATCGGGGCACAAGGCAATTTGGGCATGGAACGACCGTGGGACTTTTCGAATCTTGTCCGCTACCACCAACTTCAACGCCCAACGTCGTCAGCTCTTATCCCATCCGATTTTTCCAACTTACATCCAAACTCTGGTCGCGATAAATCTAGCACGAGTTGCCAAACATCAATACCTCCGGAACTTGTAACTATTCGCCACAGATCCGCGCACGGACCTCCCATTTTCCGCCTCGTTAACCCCCGGTCCACGTTTCCTGTACCCCGCCCATAAACCTCCCGGTTCCCTACTTTATTGACTAGTAGAAACTAAATCATGTCTCAACAACAATCCCGAGCGTCGTCATCTGCATCGTAAGTCAAATTTGACGATTTTTTCTGGTTGTATGGGTCGTTTACGTCTATTATCGCGGGTAGCGCATCCACGCAGAACGACTGGAAGAACGGTCTCCGCCCGCCACCAAAAGACTTCCGTCCTCAAACAGAAGATGTTACAGCCACCAAAGGCATCGAATTCGAGGATATGTACATCCGCCGCGAACTCCTTATGGGCATTTTCGAAGCCGGTTTCGAGAAGCCCTCCCCCATCCAAGAAGAGGCAATTCCTATCGCCCTTACCAAACGAGACGTACTCGCCCGTGCAAAGAATGGCACAGGCAAGACAGCTGCATTCGTCATACCTTCATTGCAACAAATCGACGTTAACAAACACAAGATCCAGGCACTAATCCTCGTTCCCACACGTGAGCTGGCACTACAGACGAGTCAAGTATGCAAAGTGTTGGGCAAACATATGGGTGTGCAGGTCATGGTTACAACGGGAGGGACGACCCTGAAGGACGACATTTTGCGATTGTCGGAAGTCGTCCACGTGCTCGTCGCTACTCCTGGTCGTGTGCTGGACTTGGCAGGGAAGGGCGTCGCTGATTTGAGCGAGTGCCCGGTCTTTGTTATGGACGAAGCCGATAAGTTGCTGTCGCCCGAGTTCACGCCCGTCATCGAACAACTGCTGGGGTATCTCCCCAAGGATCGCCAGGTCATGCTTTTTAGTGCCACATTCCCCATGATTGTCAAAGACTTCAAGGTGCGTTCTGCGCGTTGTTCGTCAGAGCCTGACTCACGATCGTTGTAGGAGAAACACATGAGCTCACCATATGAGATCAATCTCATGGAAGAATTGACCCTCCGTGGTGTCACCCAATATTACGCCTTTGTTGAAGAACGACAAAAGGTTCATTGTCTGAATACACTGTTTTCTAAGGTATGGATCCTCGCCCTTCAGTCGCTAATCGTTCTCATCGTTGCCTCAGTTACAAATCAACCAATCCATCATCTTCTGTAATTCCACCAATCGAGTCGAGCTCCTCGCCAAAAAGATCACCGAGCTGGGGTACTCTTGTTTCTACTCACACGCCAAGATGCTTCAATCTCACCGTAACCGCGTTTTCCACGATTTCCGTAACGGCGTCTGTCGTAACCTCGTCTGCTCCGACCTCTTAACCCGCGGTATCGATATCCAAGCAGTCAACGTCGTCATTAACTTTGATTTCCCCAAGAACTCCGAAACCTACCTCCATCGAATTGGTCGATCTGGCAGGTTCGGGCATTTGGGTTTGGCGATCAATTTGGTTACATATGAGGATCGGTTCAGTCTTTATAAGATTGAACAGGAGTTGGGAACGGAGATTCAACCGATCCCGCAGTTTATCGACAAGGCGTTGTATGTCGCTCCCAGTGGCGGGTCTGGAGAGGAGCAACAACCCCAACAGCCGAAGCCCCAACAGTCTGCTAGTGCGACGCAGAAACAACTCCAGCAACAATCAGGTGGTGTTGTACAGCAGAAGCAACCGCAGACGCAACCTCCGAGACAACAGCAAGCCCCTCCACCCCCACCTCCGTTGACAGTTGCGGCGCAGCAAGCACAAGCGGGACAGGTTCTATATCAGAGTACGATTCCTCCGCAGCAACAGCCGCAGCAGGCTATGCGACCGAATGGGATGGCTCAGGTACAACCTCAGCTCGCAGCACAGAGGGCGTATGCTGGTGGTCCCGGGCCTGCTGGGCCAGGGTACAATAGGGGAGGTGTAGCCGTGCCGAGATGAAGCGGTTTAGGGCGAGGTTTCGAGTGCGGGGTGATTGGTGAAGGATGGGTGGAAGGGCGGTTGTGAGAGGGGTGTGAATGTGATTTGTGGTGGAGAGGTTGTGGGAATGGAGGCGGGAGGTGGTGGTGGGAAGGGGAGGAGGTTGGTGGGAAGGATAGGTGGCGACGGTTCCTAGTGCTTCCTCCCAATGACTTCGAGCGCGACAGTCACAATGATTCGAAAGGGTACTCTTGTTCAATTTTTACCACCACCTTCGCTTCGTGTTCTTTTTTTTTGCTTTCTTTATTTTATTCTGCTTTCCCACCTCACCTTGACTTTCAGAGCTCCTTGTTGACCTCCCAAGGTTGTAGCATATCATCTCGTCATTACTTACCTCCCCTCTTCACTTTCTTCGTACCCTTTCGTTTTGGTGTTGGCCAGTCGTGTCTTGGACGTTGTTGGGATGTGATGTTGTGGGTTCTGGTGGTGGAGGGTTGTGCGGAGGGTATCTCTGTTTCCATACTCTGTCGCTTACATTTAGGCCTCTGCTTTTGCCACCAATCCAATGTTGGGTGTCAGATACTCGTGTGTCGGGATTGAAGAAGGCGTGAGTTGTGTGTTGGTCAGTACTGCGGACGGCGTACACTCCCAGGCTCATTCAGAACATTTTCTCGTATCCTCCGCCAACGTTAACCCCGCTCGGTGCTGGGCCCCTCTGGAATTTAGGACGCCCGACGAAAGGCGCTGATGTCGACACCCAAAAGTGGTTACTATTCGCAGGTGCCGATGTACCAGCTGCCAAACCACTCAGCTCCCCGTTTACGATCTCCAACTATACCTTCGTTACCATTACATTCGCCGAGTTCTTCACCCCCACGATCACCTACACTGCCCTCGCGTCGACGGTCACCCAAGTGGATGTTCCCTCCGAGTAGATGGCGTCAAGTCCTCCTCCGACCTGGCGCACTCTTCAAAATCTGCTGTCTGCTGTCCGTC